ACATCATGACCGATAGGGTTTACCTTTCTATATTAAAAATAAGAAATGTGCTTTTTAAATTGGACTTGCATAAATATCCGTCTTGCGCTTTTAAGAATTGGAATCGATATGTTTGTTTTATTTAAACCAAATACAGTAAGAAACTCCTATTTATTCTATGAAATTAGATACGAGTCAAATAGCCTATTCTGAAAATTTGCTGTATGGCCAGACAAAAAACGATGCACTGTACATCCTGAATCCACAAGAAGTATTTATTACACGGCTGAGCGAACATTCCGTAACATTCGTGGCGCAACTTCACTCTCGGTTGCATCGCAGTTGCGGTCGGTCTCGAAACTCCCAAAGCCCCATCCACATGCTGAGAGCGACGTACCATGAACGCCCCACGTCCCGTTTTTGGCTCACATCCGCCGGGACGATATTTCTCCTGGATGGCCTTCTATGAAAATGCATCCAGAAAAACACTAGACTAGTAAATTGTAAGTTACAAGTAAATACAGACAAATAATATTTTGTTCCACATACCTATCACCGACTGTAAGAAACTAGAAGTGCGGCGCTGTAAAAATGACGTTTCGTAAACGTGTTGATTTGTGAAAGTATGGTGAAGCACAGACATTTTTTAATTGATGGACTTAGCCACAAAATAACAAAGGCACATAGGTCTGTAAATTAAGTGATTTGACTGACTTTTTTTAATTCAAATACAATTATAATTTTATACTGTTACCCTGAAAATAACTTGCTTCTGAAGCGATACAACGCTGGAGATGGTTTTTCCACTATTCATAGCAGTGTTGGAACTCCGATACTGGAATTGCCTTTAGCTGGTGTGTTACAGCCCTTTGAATGTTTTTGACGCTTCCAGAACTGAGCTGAATTTTCAACTTCGGGAAGACAAAAAAAACACAAGCACTCGAGTCAGGCGAGTTTTACTGGTAAAAAACTCGTTTATTGACATTGCTGTGTTACGAGTATTATCCTAACGTAACACCCAGTTCTTCTTGATCTGACGAACGGCGTTGTGAGTCAAATTTAACTCTTCCCCGATCATTCTGACTATCAACCGACGATCTCAATGTTCAAGATCCCGAATTCTGTCGATATTTTCATCGGTTCTTGAAGATGAAGGCCTTCCGCTTCGTAATTCGTCATCAATGGACTGACTCTCTCCCACTCTGCCTTGAACCACCAGAAAACCTGGGCTCTTGACAAAATAACAAAAAATGTTTGTTAAATATTTGTAGCGACAGATTTTTTAATATTTAAATATATTTCTTATATAATCATAAAATATTCATTATAGATATTTGTACTATATATAATTCATATATTTTTGCGATATTTTTTCCAAATATTTAGAAAATATATGAGGAAAGATTTTTAAATAGCAATTTTATATTTTGATAAAATATCTAATATTTTTCGTAAATATGTATGGCTTTTCAAGCATTAAAATCTGAAACATATTTTCAGTGTATAGTATATAAAAAATTCTTCATTGGTTATTTTAGCAAAACCTGTAGGAATGCTTATATAAAATTGGGTTTATAACGGTTTAATTTGCTAGAAACTATTAAAAAACATTCAAAGCCTCTTCTGCATCTTGCAAGTCCACTCCACTGAAAAAAAATAAACTTACTAATTATGAAGTATTATTTTATACATAAGCTGCGTTTCAGTGTATTTATGGAATATAAAATGCAGTGGAACAATATTTGTGTTGAGCATGGTGATTACTCCGAGTAGCTCAACTTCGTCACTGAAAAGCAGCTCTATAATGCACCTAAAAGGACCCCACATTTGGTTAATGTTTAAGAAAATTTGATATGTTGTTTTAGATATCTCGATGAAAAATGTCCATCCTCTGACTAACTCAAAAAAAAGGTTTTTTTTTAAATATATATAATTATTGATTTTGTTGAAATGTGAGTCTTTTTAGTAAGGTAAGTAACTTAGCTATAACTATTTTATGATTTTATATTATAATTCAAGGGACAAAGATATTCTATTTTCGACTGTTAAAATTTTTGAACGTACTACGACAAAAATAATAATTCAAATCTTTAAAATAAGCATTTGTGATGTATCTCGATCAAGTTGCGATTATATGTCTTTTCATTGGGATGTTTTGAACATAATTTTCGTATCCATTCTCAGATAAATCCACCAATACCAAATAACTGTTACACTTCAAGGCTAGTTATTTATAGTCTTGTGAATACCTTTATACTCAGCTGGCACAATAATGTTTACTAGTCAGATAAATTAAGCTATAATTATCGAAAAACTTACCCTTTTCCCTTTTCCACAAAAAAACACTCAAATAGTGAACCACTTGGAGGTACACAGGAAGCACGCTATGATAGTGGAAGTCACAGGTAAAATGGATGCCGGCAAACGGGTCGGCTTGCCATTATGCCATTGGTCGCTCGAGGTCACACGCACATGCGCCGTAGCCGAAAATATTTAATGAATATTTTCTAAATATTGGAGATTTAATATTTTGCATTGATTGAAAAGTAAATATTTAATGAATATTATAAAAATAATATTGTATTTAAAATATTTAAAAGATATTGAATAAATATTTAACAAAAATATTATATTACAAATATTTATTAAATATTTGTTTAAGAAAACAAATATTTAGGTAAGATAAAAATATTATTGAATATTAAATAAACGTTTAATGTATATTTCGTGCTATTGGAGAACCTGCTAGCACACCGTTGCACGAAACTGAAGTCACTTATTTTTAGAACATAATACAAAAAACTGTACGGACAACCAAATGGCCCGAGCGAGTTCAAACTTGTACTGAAAGGCGGATCACAAGTTCCTCTGTCTCCCTTCCAAGTTCGGCGCCTGCAGTGATGCCCCATCGAACGCTACGTTACCTGTCTCAAGACTTAATTTATAGACCTTGCATATATATATATATATATATATGTAGATAAATCTGGAAATAAGACGGACTGTCGTTACATCAGATTTGTTTGTACTACTTTCAGAAGAACTAAACGACTTTACTTAATAAATAATAAATCCCCATGGTTTGTTTATCATTTTGTTGTTGAAAATAGCTATTGGAGCGTTTTTTTGTGGCAAAAAAGTTATTTCTTGAAAAAAGATAAGGAAATATCTCGTACTTATTTTAAATAGGAATTTGGTACCTAGTTTGCGATTGATTTGACCAAACTTTGTTGCTAAAATAACTTGTAACGTTTTATTACATAAATTAACAAGAAAGAGCTGAAATTATCGAAATATTTTTCGGAAATAATCAGTGCGCTAATAGAACAGCAGAAATATTTAATGAGCGACATGAGAACAGTAACGTGCATCGAAAATATGTTCTAGGACTTGTAGCTAAATTTCGGGAAAATGGGTCAGTCGCCAATAAAAAACGTAAAGGCGCGTCCAGACGTGTGTAATGTATCGTGTAATGTAACGTGTAATGTAACGCGAATTCTCCGTTTGGACGGTACTGCGAGCATTACGTGTAACGCTCGCCGAATGGTTCGAGATGTCGGTTGTTTGCCCGAACACAAAGGCGCTCGCGCTGAGCTCGCAGTCTACGTTTGGACGTGATTCGAGTTGTATGTGTTATTGCGACATCGAGCCCTAGTTCGGGATAAATTAATAACATCTATAAATCGTATTTAGTGTTAGTTGAGGTGTTGTTTTTAAAATGTGGAGTGAAGAAAAGTCACTAGAGTTAATTGAACTGTACAAAAATCAGTCAGTCTTATGGAATCCGAAAGACCCTACATATTTTAAAAAACCATTAAAAAATGATGCTTGGCGAAAAATTGCAGGCTCTCTGGGGATAGAAGCAGAAGAGTGCAAAAATAAAATGATTAGTTTATTTGCATCCTATCGCAGAGAGAAGGCGAAAGTAAAGAAGCACCTAGGAACCGGAAAAGGTATGTTTATCCCTTAATTAAATACTTAGTACCTACGGTAAAATCTTAATCCGATTTTTTAAACTTGGCTATTATCTTTTTTTTTTAAATTTATTACGTTATTAATTTGAAATTATTCACATTGACAATACTATAGATAATAGACAATTGGGTAATAATATACCCTTAAAAATTAAATTAGTTGTGGAGTAGACAGTGTACTGTGTTTTGTTACCATTTTTATACCATTTATTTTTATTTTTTGCAGGCAGTCAAGAAATATATCAAAGCACATGGTTTGCCTATGAAGCACTGGCATTTTTTTGAGACAGGGACAATCCAAGAAAAAGACTTAATTCTATGGTAAGTATTTTTTATAAATGCAATAATAAGTACAGTTTATAAACTATACATATGGTATATACTATTTAACAGTATCGATCTTGCCATGGAACTTTTCCCTCATTGCAGAAATAATCAGAAAATTCTTCTCTGATGTGTTTCAAAGGAGCTCTTCGTGGTACATTCCTAAGTGGAAGTAATGAACCTGTGTTTGGTTCATTTCTCCAAGATCCTTCAACAATTTGTCCCGCTTCTTCACGATCGAAAGATCCAAGCGGTGTGTAATATCTTTGTGATTCAGAATTTTTTCTTAAAAAGTTATGTAGATGTGCAATGGTCATGACTATAATCTCAGCGTTTTCGGGTTGGAGAAGTATTGGTCTACGTAAAACTCTAAAAACTGAAGCTATGATTCCGAAAACATTTTCAACAATTCTCCGCGCTCTGCTTAAACGGTAATTGAACATTCTTTGTTTTGAACCTTTAGGAAAATCTCCTGGATATGGTTTCATTATATGTTCAGCTAGTGGAAATGCAGAGTCACTTACAAGAACATAAGGCACTTCTTTATTTCTTCCAACTAAAGTTTCTGCTAGCGGTAAACCCAAGTTATCAGCTTCCAATTTTTTTAAAAAAATTGTATCCTTAAATACCCCACCATCTGACATCCGGCATCCACAAATAAAAAAATATATTCCGCATCCACTACGGCAAACATAACAATGCTGAAAAATGACTTGTAGTTACGATATTCAGTTCCACTGTGAATTGGAGCATCGATAATAACATGTTTTCCATCCATAGAACCAATGCAATGGGGAAAATTCCATAGTTCTTCAAACTGTTTTGAGATTTCTTTCCACCCCGCTGGAGTAGTTGGAACCTGCAAATTTAAAAATTATATTTTGTTGCAGGCAGTAGACATCGACGTCGTAAGTAACAGTGTTTCTAGAAATGATGAAAATGATAGTGTGAAGGAATCAGACATGCCAAGAGAGTCCATTTCACATTCGCAACCACCAAAAAAGAAGAGAAGTTACACGGAACCTAGAGAAAACAACAAAAAAATTGAAATACTAGCTGAAGCCCTCGACATACTAAAGACAACGACCACTCAGACTCAACCTGCATCAAATGTTTCATTAGATAACGAAAATCTTCACTTTATTAATTTCATTGGCAGCAAAATAATAATATAATAATAATATATATTTAATAATAATATATATTTATTTCCAACAGGTATACACCCAATCACAGGAAATCAAAACAAAATGGTACCATATATACACATATATACACACACACGTATATATACATACATATGTATATACACATACATATATACACATATATACATATATATATAGACAATGAATCAGAAAATAATAACAAAAAAAGAAAATAGAAAAACATTAGTGATCTGAATGAACACATAATACATAGGTGAATAATTAAACACTTCACAAAAAAAGAGAAGAAAAAAAAACATAAAAGTGCTCAAATTGAAGAATAACAATAACTGACACCATCAACAAAACGATTTTATCTCAATTGCTCCCTGTAAATGTTTAATATTTTATTAAGACTGTCATGACATACATCAGCTCTGTTACAGATTGAATTGAATAAGGTACACATTACCATTACTGGGGATCTGCATAAAATATTCGTCCGTGGTGTATCACAGTAAAATATGTTATTATGCCGACCAACTAATCTGGGAGCATGAAAATTAATCTTACTCAGTAGGAACCCACAATCAATATGATTATTCACTAACTTATAAAGGAAAGTGAGAGCTTGAGCGTCACGACGATTCCTTAGTGATTCAATGCCAAAAAACTCCAACAAAACGTCATGATCAAATCCTCTTTCTGGGTATCTACCACTGCACTTAAAATACCAATACTTTAGAGCTTTACGTTGCACAGCCTCCAGTTTACCAATTGCATTCTGATATAGGGGGGACCATACTAAGGACGCATACTCTAACTTAGTCCTGATAAATGAAAAATACAGTATTCTTAAACAGTCCACATTAGAGAAATCGGACCAGTTACGTACACAATAACCCATCAACCGTGATGCAGATGATACAATATCTGATATGTGATCGTTAAAAGTGAGTTTGTTATCGAACACTACTCCCAAGTCTTTAAAACTTGAATCTCTTCCTAAAACGCTTTCATTAAGGTTATAGTTGTATATGATGGGGTCCTGCTTCCGACTATACGACACCACTTTGCATTTTTGACATTTAACGTTAGCAGATTTCTGTTGCACCATTCATATATGAAGTCAAGCTTGCTTTGCATCTCCACACAGTCACTCGAAGAGTGAATTGGCGAAAATATCTTCAAGTCGTCAGCAAAAAGCAAGTGCATACAGGTTAGCTTCAAAGACAGATCGTTAATGAAAATAAGAAATAACAAGGGTCCTAGGTTCGAACCTTGTGGAACTCCAGATGTTGCTGTATAAATTTTGGACTTACTTCCACCAAATTCAACATATAATGACCTATCAGCAAGGTATGATTGCAAGAGGGTCAACATAGAGGCTGATAAACCTAACGCTTCAAGCTTTGCCAACAATATATAATGATCAACCCGATCAAAGGCCTTCGCAATATCTGTGTATATCACATCTACTTGACCCTGACAATCAAGTGCACTAGCGGCAAACTGAGTGAAACAAGCTAAATTTGTGACCGTAGATCTGCCAACCATAAAACCATGTTGATTTTCAGAGATGAGAGATCTTACGGAGCTGAATATTGTGTTATAAATTATTATCTCAAACAATTTACTAAAATTACATAAAATAGCTATTTGACGATAATTACTTACATCTGAGTTGACACCACTCTTAAATATAGGACAAATTTTTGTCATCTTCCAAATTTTAGGATAACAACGAGATTTTAAAATCAAATTGAATATATAGCGAAGAGGCTTAGCTAGGATATGAATACAATCCTTAACTATGAAGCTAGGTACACCATCAAAACCAGACGTCATTTTATCCTTCAATTTTTTTGATGCCTGTATGATATCATGTTCACTGATATGATCTAATGATATGTGACAATTTCCTGAAGTGATATTTCTAAAAGTCGACGGACCTGAGGTAGTGAACGCACCCGAAAAATATTGTGCAAATCCATCAACAATAGCTTGAGGGGTATCAAAAACGTTGCCTTCAAATGACATGGAGCCTGGTATTCTAGACTGATTATTCTTTGAATTTAAAAATGACCAAAACTTACCCGGATCATGACGAATTGAATCTTCAACCTTCTTGGTGTAAGCAGCATAAGCAATTTCTATTTGAGCCTTGATGTTAGTACGTAGCTGCTTGAATTTATTTTCGAAATGAATGAGTCCTGTTTGCTTAAAACAGTTTCTGGCCCTATCCTTCTGTTTTATATTAGTTATAATTTCAGTCGTGAACCATAAAGGATAACGACGCTGTGCTTGCTTAAACCTTGGAATATACAAATCAAAAAGTTCATTCAATATTGAATATAAATATGAGCAAGCATTCTCTACATCATTCATTTCTTTGAGGTGTGACCAATCAATATTCAAAACAGCATTATACAAAGCTACATAATTAGCACGACGGAAGTTATATCTAGAGACGGTCTTCAAATTAAAATTATTTTTCATACTCCCAACCGTGAAGTTAAATTGGAGAGCTGGATGATGCTTATCTTCCTTAACTAAAGGGTAACAATCTCTTATCACTAAAATATTAGAATTGGTCAATACTAAATCAAGTAGTCTCCCATTGCAGTTCACAATGCTGTTAAAGTTGGTGAGGTCCGAGAAAGCACAGAACTGACTCAAGGATTGGAATTTTCTGTCATTGAACTGGATATTAAAGGAAGGAACGTTGAAGTCACCATTTATAACAATATTATAATTACCAAAAGTTGTTAGAATTGTTTCAAGACTATCCAAATAACACTCAAACTCATCAAGTCCTACAGACGGTGGAACATAAATGCAAAATGCAATTAGTGGTTTTATCTGCAGATTTATCTTTACGGCAACAGTATCAATTAGCGGAAAGGAACTGTTCAGTATATTTGTATTAACCACAGATACACTAAACGTGTCCCTAACAGCAATCAACGTACCACCACCTGTTGACAATTCAGTTGTTGCAAAGTCACGATCAGAGCGAAATACAGAGTATTCAACAGGAAAAAGTTCTGAGCTATTAACATGAACTGACAGCCACGTTTCACTGAGACATATCAAGTCGAACTCACACTCAGTTACAGCACTATAAAAACTAGGAACTTTAGAATTGAGACCTCTAACGTTTTGATAATAGCATCTAAACTCTGTGGACTCAACATTATCAGAACTGCAAGAGGGTGCGCTGCCTAGTTTAGGTATCCACCAAATGTTCGGAATGCTGTAGAGCGTGCTATAACAGATGTATTATTTAAAGCTGATGAAGGATATTATAATTTTTATCCTAAACAGTACGCACAGCGGTTACAGCAATGGCCTAGCAACAATACGACATGCACTACCTCTCAAACGCCCGCACCTCCCGTACGTGTGGAGGTACCCGCTATTTCCCCATATGGAACGTTTTCTGAGCCATCTCCCGCCTATTCACAACTATCTCAAGAATCTTTCGACATTCCAGATTTGGTGTAAAATTAACAAACATATGTTTCTTATACTAACATTACTATCTAAATTTAAAACTAAATTTAAATTTAAATAAAAGGTAATAAATAAGTATTAAAAACTTACCCGTATATTTTCTTTTATGGCTTCAATAATTGCCAAGCAAACTTCTGGGACAATCAAGGAAATAGATTGCTTTGAAATTCTGAAAATGTATTGTAGACTTGTGTGAGAATCCCCCGTTGCTAAAAATCTCACTGTAAGTGCTAATCTATTTTGAACTGATATAGCAGCTCTCATTGGGGTATCATATTTTCCTACTTTTGGTCCGACTAAAGTAATTAAATATTCAAAATCGATAGGTGACATACGTGTGAAGTTTTTGTATTGCCCACTTAATTCCTGAGATTTTAAATCAATCATCAATTCCGAACCGGCTCTTTTTTATATAATTGTGTTTTCCACCAACGGCGACGACGGCGTGGTTTATTTTCATCTTCATTTTCCTCCACGAGTAAATACATAGCTATAAATGCAGCTCCCGCAACTACTACCTCCCTCGACATGTTCGCGAATACTAAATGGATAAACAATTCGCGGTAAGTATTCTGGTTGCATTCATTCTATGCTCAGGTAGCGTCCAAATGAATTCGCATTACATTACATGTTACATTACACGATACATTACATATGTCTGGACCCGCCTTAACATTGAGAATCCCATAAGGAATGAAGCAATAGAAGTGGGGGTTATAGGGCAAGTTTATGTAGATCCTACGTTAAGTACCCGCAAAGTGGAGACTGTGTGTGGTGTTAGTCGACCTATTGTCCAACGGATTCTAAAGGCCTCATAGCCCTACTGAGCGAGGGCCGTGGCAAATGCTTGTTCCGGAAGTTGTATCCAGTATACAACTTCTTTCCCGTCCAAGTGATTGTGCACGCGTTAAGGAATACCTCAGTACCGATTGCCGGGTGGTGGTACAAGTCCACCAACGGGCCACTTTAGGTCTATTTAACATCATTAACACGTAAAAAGAAGGTGGTAGACAAGGACCAGTCGACCGAGGCAGTACCACCCGCTAGCTTTTCCCAGGGTGTCTTATAAATGTCCGCATGTTTCCACACCTAAGCTATGCAGTCGGTTATCTACCAAAACAAAGAAATTAATGATGATGGATCCCTCGAGCACTAAGAACTCCGGACGTAAACTCTCGGAATGTCCGGGTGGAAGGTGGGCTCGAGGGAACAACATCGAAGATAAAATTTGTTTTTCGAACATCTGCGGGATCAACAGCAACATTGATGCTGTTCATCACTACCTGCAAACCAATCGTCCCGCCGTGCTTTTCTTGGCGGAGACAAAAATCTCAGAGACTGCACCGATTAACCATCTCAACTTCCCAAACTATGAGGTGCACTCCAATCTGAGAAAGAACGGGGGAGTTGTGGCTTTTGTCCACAGCAGTCTTTCCTGCTCCAGGGATCTTTCTTTGGAATCAGACCGGAAGGACATTCTGTGGCTTCGTCTCAACTCCAAAACATCACCCAAATTTATTGGCTGCCTTTATCGCTCTCCCTCGAACCATAACTGGGATGACCTACTCGAATACCTCGCCGTCCAGATCGACTTCCTGAACATCAATCACCCCGCTTCAGAGGTAGTTGGTGATTTCAATGCCCATAATGAGCTTTGGTTGGGCTCAAATAAGACCGATGCAGCAGGTCGTGCAGTCGAAGCGTTCGCTCTTACTCAAGGGCTGACCCAGCTGGTGACGAGCCCTACTTTTTTCCCCCGCGTCTCGTCACACGCCAGTAGCCTGCTGGATCTCTTTCTGACCACGCATCCTGCCCCTTACAGCACTGCTGTCCTATCCCCCCTGGGTAACTCAGATCACGGTGTTGAGGAGGTTAGGTTTCGGTCAGACATGCCGACTGGGAGGGGCTCAGAGACTTCTTCTCTAGATTTCCTTGGAGAGATGTCTGTTTCACTGACGCGGATGCGTCGACAGTCTGTTCTTCAATAACCGAAATTATCCACGTCGGAATGGAGGAATACATCCCTCACACAGTGAAAGTTCCTAAACCAGGGTCCAACGGCTGGTTCAACAAATCGTGTGACACTGCTCGCCAGCAGAAGATCAAGGCCCACAGAACCTACTTACAAAACCCCACTGTAGAGAACAGACAAGCCGACGTCGAGTCCAGAAACAAATATAACGAAGCGGTTCGCAATGCCAAAAACCAGCATGATATAAAAGTTAGGCACAGGGTAATGTCGCAGCGCAATGGCAGTCGGTTTTTCTGGACGCTGGCCAAGCAGATTGAAAAGAACTTCTCACACAGTAGCCTTCCACCACTTACGTGTCAGGATGGAACTATTGTATTCGACTCAAAGGCCAATGTGGTAGTGCTAGCCAAGATCTTTGCTGCCAACTCCACCATGGACGTGCCCACCAACGCCCAAGTACCGTCAATTCAAAGGGTTCTCCACACTATGCGGGAGGTAACATTCAGGCATAAGACCGTAAGACGAGTGCTCTTGTCGCTCGAAATCAACAAAGCTTCTGGTCCGGACTTGATTCCTGCCATTGTACTGAAGAGATGTGCAGCGGAGCTTGCTCCAGTTCTTTCGCGTCTCTTCCAGATATCTTATGAATCCGGCCCCTTCCCAGAAAACTGGAAATTTGCTTATGTACAGCCCATCCCAAAAAAAAGGATCTAAGACTGACCCTTACAACTACAGGCCTATAGCTCTGCTTTCTGTTATAAGTAAAGTGATGGAGAGGTGCATAAATCGCGAGCTTCTGGACTACCTCGAACGTCACAGCTTGATTAGCGACAGGCAGTACGGTTTCCAACGATCCACATGGGACCTCCTAGCTTACGTCACGCAACTGTGGAGAAAACTCATCCAGTCTCATGGTGAGGCTCATGTCGTTGCTCTTGACATCACGAAAGCATTCCATCAGCTGTGGCACGCTGCCCTCTTAAGCAAACTTCCATCCTATGGCCTCCCAGAAAAGCTTTGCAGATGGGTGGCTGACTTTATCTCTGGCCGCAAGATATCCGTCGTAATTGACGGATTCTCCTCTTCATCCCACAACGTCAACGCGGGTGTTCCCCAGGGATCGGTCTTGGCTCCAACACTGTTTCTCTTACATATCAACGACCTCCTTTCCTGCACGATAAACCCAATCCACAGCTTCACTGATGACAGCACTCTACATGCAGGAATTCAGAGTGACAAGCCGATCTCTGCCGCTGAGCTGAAAAAAAGAAGACTAGCGACGACTTCTTCTCTGACAAGAGACCTGGAGGCTATCACTGCTTGGGGACGCAACAATCTTGTACAGTTCAATGCTTCCAAAACACAGTACTGTGCTTTGACGAACAAAAAGCGTCCTAGCGCTCATACAGTTTCGATGGACGGTCGAGTTCTACCAAAGAGCCATTCATTTCGGCTGGTCGGAGTCCAGATCACCGAGGACCTGGATCTGGCACGAACACATCTCTTCAATAGCTGCAGCTGCTGGGAAAAAGCTAGGCTAATTGTTTAGGGCTACGAAGTACTTTTCTCCGCATGACCTTCTCACTCTATACAAGGCCCAGATAAGGCCTAGCCTCGAGTATTGCTCACACATTTGGGGTGCTGCCGCCCCGACTACATTGTCCATGCTCGATGCTGTCCAGAGGAGGGCGGTCCGACTGATCGATGACTCTTCTCTAACAGACAGTCTCGGGACTCTTTCGCACCGGCGGGTCGTCGGCGATCTAGCTCTTTTCTATCGCTACACCTACGGGCTTTGCTCCTCAGAGCTCTCTTCCATGATGCCGCCGCGCGATGTGCCTGCCAGACAGACCCGCCTGACTTCGGCGTCCCATCCTAACCGTGTCAAACTTCGTACATCCAGAACTGGCCGATACGACCGCTCCTTTGTCCCGAGGGTGTCTAGATTGTGGAACAATCTACGGGAGGAAGCTTTTTCCAGTTCTACTAACCTTAGGCAGTTCAAAAATCGTGTTAACAAAATTTCTTTGGGATCATCATAGCAGCCGCGGTGTTCCAGCATTTAGGCTTCTGCCTGCGCGGCTGTTTCGATATAAAAAAAAGTATGTATAAAATTCACCTGGTACAAGAACTTAATGAAGACGATTTTGATCAGCGATTACAATTTTGTGAAGATTTGAGTGAACGAATTATAAACGATGAACATTTTCTATTCAACACTTGCTTTTCTTAAATGGCGTAGTAAATCGTCATAACTGCCGATATTGGTCCGATTCTAATCCCAGAATTTATCATGAGGTTCATACACAGCAGCCACAAAAATTAAATGTTTGGGCTGGTATTTTTGGCGATCATTTAGTTGGTCCTTTTTTCTTACTTAGGAATTTGATCGGTGAAATGTATTTGGAATTACTCGAAGACGCTATAGATCTTGCATTAACAGCCATAATTGAAAATCAGAATGATCGGCGGTACATTGCGAATAGGTTGACGTTCCAACAGGATGGTGCCCCACCACATTACGCATTAGATCAGACGTTTCCAGATCGATGGATTGGTAGAAGAGGTGCCATTGAATGGCCTCCAAGATCGCCAGATTTATCACCTTTGAATTTCTTTATGTGGGGTCATTTAAAAAGCAAAATCTATGCTACTCAGCCAACATCATTAGAAGACCTGTGACAAAGAATTGTGAATGAGTGCCTCCAAATTACTCCTCAAATATTGCAAAATGTGCGGCAACGTTTTGAGCAAAATCTTTATTATTGCATGGAGAGGCATGGTGGCCATTTTCAATATTTACTGGCCTAACGGGTCAGTTCATTCTTCATTTTTAAATTACTATGCTGCCAAATGTATTGATCTCCACTAATGATGATGTATTAGTTTTATTTAAGCTTTAAATCAATAAATCTTCAAAACTACTGAACTGAAGTACATTAATTTTATATCATTATAAAGGGAATTGAAAGACCTTTAAGATAATGTATCACTCGACCCCCTTTCCATTTAAGAATTTGGGGGTGGTGTCAACCCCGCTTAGGGGGCTGCACATGCTAACGTGATTTTTTGCCAAACTTGTGTTCCCCTCGAAACCAAAATCGATGGGTCTGAGCGTGCCAGTAAATGCGTGTTTCGTTTTCGATGCGCCACCCTGTATATAAAAATGAATCTCTATTTTGCGTGGTCTCGCCATAATTTGAGAAAAGCTTTATCGATTTCATTCATCTTTTTTTAAAGTTTCCTAATGATGGATAGAAGGCTCTTACGGAAAGAAAAATTAAGAATATTGTGCAGAAAATTGGGAAATAATTGAAAACCTGATGATTATTTAAGCTACGCGCGTTTGACAGTTTGCTTGAGCGTGGAGCACGCACAGCAGAAGAAATATCTGAAGTACAAAAGGGACAGGTACTCGTCTCCGGCCATCTTTATTCCAACAGCTATTGACAGTTAGCTATGTGAGAGAAAATTGCTTATGAAAACACGGTGCTTTCGTTTTTGGACTTTTCTTTACCATCCGTACTTAGTGATGGCCCCTTCAAAAGAAACTGCAGTGTTGCCCAATTGTGATT